TGAAATAAAACAGTTAGGTGTTTATATGTTGCATTTTGATTGAGCAGCTGACACCCTAAGACATTTATAGATATCCAACTACAATGAAACAATTTAAGAGACTTTTATCCCCCAATGAAAAGTCTCGGTAGCAGATGGTTGGCTAGTGGTAAGTAGTCATTACCATGCTGCTTAGTCTTAGATGCTGACTGAGGTCCCTTGATCAAGTTTATCCCATGGTTATGAAGCTAGGCAACTTGCTTACCAGGTGAACCCTAATATTGGGTGAGTGAGTGACAGTTGCTAGGGGGGATGTACTTGAACCAAACTTTGTACTGTCTGGTAGTCGTCAGCCTTTAGGAAAAAGATTCTACCCTAGAGGTGCATCCTATTCTTTTTATGGGATGTCAGTTAACATATGGATAGTTTAGTAGTGGGATAACATAAGATGACGTGATCTTACACTTCTAGGGCAGCCCCAGTCCCATTAAGTTAGCAGATCAGCCCTACTCACAAGCATCAGGAAGTTAAAACAGTAAACCAAGCAGAATTTTTCATCTACTGTCCTCAATTGCCTCACAAAATGGGGTTTAATATACGGAACTACTGTATTAAGATTCACAATGCTTCTAATATCTCATTCAAAAGGAACAACACTTTAGTGCTAAGGATTATCCCTCAGTGTAAAGACAAGTTGTAACAAAGGCGACAAAAATACTCTAGAAGTCCTAGGGATCCAAGTGGAAACTGGTTCATGTCATCTGTAAAGGAACTCCAATGATGCGTCATTGTAGCAGATAACTCTTTATACCTAATACGTATGCATCTATACATATGCATAATGAGGTTTATTCTAAACGAAAAAACTTTTAGTTCCCGTTCAGTACTTCTGTCGAGGATTTCGAAGTTCATCTGAAAATTCCCTTCATCACTGACTCTGTTTCAGTAAACGTAAAGATGGCTATACATTGTAACTCAAGTCACCTCATGACTTTTCAAACTGCGTTGAGTTCAGCAGATGAAAACAGCTAGCATAAAATCTGGTTTGACCTAATCCTGTCACCTGTATATATCTAGTAGTAGTAGTAGTAGTAGTAGTAGTAGTAGTAGTAGTAGTAGTAGTAGTAGTAGTATTAGTATTAGTAGTAGTAGTAGTAGTAGTAGTAGTAGTAGTAGTAGTAGTAGTAGTAGTAGTAGTAGTAGTAGTAGTAGTAGTAGTAGTAGTAGTAGTAGTAGTAGTAGTAGTAGTAGTAGTAGTAGTAGTAGTAACCTTTCATCCTGTACCCCAAGATATGATCTTGATTGCTGGATATTTCACTGTGGTACGAACCAGTGATTGCAAAAGACCTGATACATACTTAAATACAATGGTAACCTGACTAGCAAAGACCTCTTCATTTCACGTCATCCTGAGAATAAAAACAGTATCCATAGGAAACATATCTTTGAAGCTGATCTGTTCTAAGAATTTAGAGATCTATTCAAAACTACATTAGTGATTTAGTGAGTTCGATTAATTTGACTCCGTCAGTTCAATAAATAAAATTCAACTGGTCACAATTTCAATTTCTTACGTGATCGAGATTTTGGCCAAAATTTTGAAGAGAATAAGGAGAAAGCATTTGATTCTCTTAGAAAACAAGTCTCAGCATCAAAACAGTACCAGCCACCTAGAGAAAGAAAAATAGTTTTAGTGGTTATCAATTTCTATGAAATCACTGTTTACCTTCAAGGAAGATAATCCAGTTATTTATTGCAGCGTGTTTCGCTGGCCGATAATAATAACTAAAAATGAAAGATAAAAATTAGGAAGATTAGACTGAAAATAAATATTGAGTGAGTTATGCCTTTGAAAACCAAAAACCTAGAGAGTATTTGCTAGCAACTTTTACATGCGTCGATTCACTAAGATGGGTTCAATAAAAGCCTTCACCGCTTTTATGCTAGCCTTCAAAGTCACAAAATGTACGAAGGCGACAACATGATCGCAACAGATTTCGATTCTGAGGCATATCGGATAACACCTTCAGCCACTAGGATGTATAATTTCTTTGATCTCTACCCGCGGATTCCTATGATGCCAACAAGTTCAAACCAACATAAGTATTCTTCTTTTTAATGCACCATGTCATACACTGATACTGTTCTGCTCTTCCCATGTACTCTTGAGGCTGGTGTAAGATTCTCAAAGAAGATATCTGTAGTACTTTTTCAAGCCGTCGATGCTAAAAGGTCAAAAATCATGAAATGACTCCGTAACTCTCACTAGTTAGAATTTACACCACGAATTTAATTTCTCTTTGGAACATTCAGACAGAAAATGTTAACTAACATAGGATTAGACTATGGAAAGAAGTTGAAGCTACTTAAACCATAAGGCGACATCAGTCCATCAATTCTTGAACTATTGGTTTGATTTATGTAGGGAAGAGTAGGCTCCTAATTAAGAGTCGGCAGAAAAAATGAAACTAGTGACTGCAGATTTTAAACCATATGGCTAGGAATCATTTTAATCGGTGAGGATTTAGCAACTTTTTGGTTCGATCTTAATCATCATGTTGCCTATCGTTGTTTGTTTTGATTTGTATCATTTATGTCAAAAGACTTTTAAATACTTTCTATTATATTACTTGCATTTCTCTTCCTTCCATCTTGTTATCTTTTATTTTGACATGATGTAAGGTGTGGTGAATTGAACCACTACACAGTAATTCTGCTTCTTATGCTAGTGGCTAATTAATGCTTAATTTAAACAGGTGATTGTGGAGTTTAATGTTTTACCTCTGCTCAATCTGTTAAACTTTAATTCATCATTTTGTTTCATTAATTGTAAAGGAAGAGTGATTTCATACTGAAAGTCTTAAGGAAGCCTGTAGAACGAATTATCTTTACGCTAAATATTTATGGACCTATTTCTTGTATCAAGCTCCACATACCTGAAATAGGGTGACGGCAAGCATTTAGTCTGGGCTCTAAAATTGTTAGTGTCAATTAGTATGTAAAACCTGATACATACCAGAAAATACTGATTTCTCTTTTAAATGAATATTCGCCTAACTGTAACATTGTCACTGAACAGTCCTACTACTTCAACTATTCCTTCGACCACTTGAGAGATTAAAACGATCGTTTTCAGGGAAATCTATTTGTGTAACAAACAGTAAGACTGAATACTATACATAATATGGATATTTCTCACGAAAAATACTGCTAATGAACAACTTGAGTACTTAGAAACCACTCATGCTGATCTGTAGTATTTCACCAGCCAGATTAAAGTGATCTCGGCTGAGTGGTTTCTAGCGGAAAACTCATTGACACCATAGCTAGGCAGTTGAAAAACTATTCAGCTCTAAGAAATGTCAACATGGACCGTGCAATTTTTAAATCGTCTGCAAATTAATCATCTTTTTTTAAGGATGTTTCTGATTCCTTGAACAGCTCAGTATTTTAGTCTGCTGTAGTTACAACCTTGAGGAAACAATTCATGTTCTCAGCCCTTAAATATTACACTTTCATGATATGTATCATAAAGTCAGTAACTAAAGTCTAAAGCATTTTATATATTCTTTGTATCATTTTTACTTATTAAGACATCACTTACTAATGATAACAACACTGTTTGTCTGCTTCTTGGTAGATAGGCAGAAATGGATGAACATAATAAAGTATTGATGCATTCTTCCAGGTATATGGGTTTTGAATGTATCTTGACAGTTTCTTTTCGTAGAAGATGATGCTCTGTTGAAGTAATTGATACAGATCCCAGCAGAATGTCTAGAATTATTAGAGTGACAGTACTAAAGACTAACTTAGGCGAAGAGATAGATAGATAACTGAAGCTTGTTTATCGAGTCAACATCAATCACATGGAGTAGGAGTGGTTCTGTACCTGTTGTAGATATTTGGAAAATTCCAATACGTTTATCACAGCGGAGGCCAGAGGATTAGAACTATATGAACTATGTTTAAAACTTATGGAACTATCCTGATATGACTGAGGACAATAAATTGTGTCTGAAGCGTTATCCAGCAAGTACTACTGTTTCACTGTGTGACAGCTCTAATTAACATACTGAAATAAAATTAACTCATGCAGAAATTTTCCAAGTTTCATACTTCAGAAAACTCAAAGAAGCCTCTCTGAAAATTTTGGTGTCGTAGTTATATTCGTCCCATAAAAAACTCTGTGAACGGTAATAGGAACCCATCAATCAAACCAAGGCAAACTGTAAATTCTTTAGTCTCCACTTAACGACTCTTGTTTTCAGAATTGTAAGATAGAATAGCTGTGAATGCGAACGACCCAAAGAAAACAGTTTATTACCATTGAATATCTGACAGCAGTAATGCAACCTCATTCTTACATTTACACCCGAAGGTAAATTACCTATGATACAGAGTTGCCAGCTTGCAGCCTCGTCAGTATCTAGTCAACCTTCCTAGCATGGAACACTCCTTGAGTGGATTTTGGTTTCGTCCTTAATATATTTAATGATTATTCTAACGTGCTTTCGTTCATGCTGATGTATCGCAATCTGAACGGATGATGTTTTATGTACTGTGATATATTTTTGCCTACGTGTCTATTTACCAAGTATATAGTTCTGAACAGTATTAATACTATAAGATTAATCGGAAGTGACGTAATCTGGGGTCTACGGCTCAGAGGTGTACACAACCATGAGTTCGTTTTTTATTACTCAACGTTACACATAACTGGATATAACCAAAACTGTCCAAAAGATTTGAACGAATCGTTTCACATATGAATATCAAAAAGATAATCTGTGATAAATTCTTAAAATAATCTAAATACTTAGTTGGAACAGCTTGTATTTAAGCACTTCCTTCAATACATATAGTAAGATCAAACTAGAGTTAGAAAATTGACACCTGAACATTGGATGACAGAAATTATGCAAACAAACAGTTTAGTCTGAATATTTTTTCCCAAACAAAACGTTGAACATTGACATTTTAAAAACATCTATTTAAGTAGCAGAACAAGGTGAACATACCCAGCTGGTGAGCCATCGTTACATCGTGCACCGTCATTACTTAGTAGGAACAACTTATGTGATTGATGTTGTAACCGTAGGTCATTCAACATCATTTTTCCCTGGTTCCATTCACTTCTTCGCACATTTACTTTATCCTGTTCATTTTCTGTCGGTTTGAAAGTGGTTCCCATGGCTCTATGATTAGATTCTTTGACTTCCAGTTGCTTTGATCATTATTGGCACTGTCTGAATGGATAATTAAATCTGTTGTATGTAAAACTGATTTATACTGGGGCTTAGCTTTGATACTACTCATCCATGTTATCATAATTAGGCAGATAGTCGTACAATAATACCATGAAGCTGTTCGGCCGGTTGTGAAATCACATTCTGTGGATACTGAACTTCGAGCATGGTTTGTTCGTTTGTTTGAATAGATGACTGATTTAGTTTGTAGACACTTGTTGTTGGCCATTACTTTACAATCTATTGGAAAGAGAAATGATTTGAAATGTAAATTTTTTATTACTAAAACGCCAGTTATATGGAGAACAGGAAACGGTCACACCATTGAACAATGGTAAATTGATTCCATTAACTGTACATTTTATGAAAAAGGATTCAGTAAGGTTTATAAATTATAAATATCTTTGAATTTCATATCATAAGCCTTCTCTTTGTTTCTAATAACAGTTATTTTGTCCTTGAAAATCATGCCTAGTAATTAGTGACGTTCACAAATTGTTTCGTTTCAATGTGCATATATGGGTCACTATGACTTTAATCTCTCCAGTTCCTACGTATACATAGGTAATTATCGTGATTCTTTATGTATTGAGTAATAACGAAACTTTAGATATGAATAAAGAAAGAACATTGGTAGCAGAATTAGCATGCTTATACTCCTTGGATTCTCTTCCTCAGCTGCTTCATAACCTGTAGAGTATAATGTTTATATTATGAAACGTGTTATGCAGCATACATTCATAAATCAAGAGTGTTTCAATTGCGATGGAAGATAATAAAAAAGATTTAGGTTGACCAAGACTGATGAAATTGTTAAGACTACTCAAAGGTTAACTATTTATACAGTGACAGAATGAACATTCTAGAGAGAAGAGTAAAAAATAATGAGATGAGGTTGGACACATGTTATTCTCAAATTGGTAAAGAGGAAATGACATCATGATTATGTAAGCTTAACAGAAGGTTGACGGGTTTTCACCATACTGATTTGTAAGATGAATACAACTCAGAAAGTGAAAGTTTTAAAGCAGATCGAAAGATAAAGTGAAAAAACCAAGGGTCATGAGGTCATGAAATTCTGTATTAAAAATTTAGGAGATTAAAACTGTTTAGGTAAACCAAGATTGACATAAGTATCTTTCTGAATATATAGATCAGGTTTAAGTCTTTTAGTTACTGCTACCTCAGTAAAGTACAAAAGTTTATGTTTCATTTGTTTCTCGATCACTTTGAGGGATTTTGATACGTCGACTCTACGTCCAGTATCAAGTAAATACCAAGCGATTGCGTTATTTAAACCCTGTGGACACTTAAGGTTAAAATTCTTCGAGTTATTTTCAGAAATGCAAACAATAAGCCTTCTTTCTGTTCTTTCAGTGCGTGTGCTTTAACATGTACATGCGAGTTGGTAGATGTAGTTGGAGGCAACAAGAGCTGGGAACTTGTCAATTTTGGAATATCTCAATGAGTGATTATTCTGATACACACAGACTATTTCGGCGGCTGGATAGGTTTTTTTCAGTACAGCACTCAGTTAATGTTTCATTCATGTGGTGATTTCATCCTTTTTGAAGGGGAGATGTAGATAGACGGGTTTCGTGTCAACTGCGTTGCACTTGATTCTGTTCGTTTCTATCCTGCCGTACTTAACAATCAACTGATGCGGGTGACCATTTTCGAACATGCAGTGTTTGACAAAGGTTAGTCTTCTTTCATTTTACTCTTCAGAGCACAATTCATCCTTACGGTTAAGAAGTGTTTTTACCAGACACTTTTTGTAACTGATTCAGCGAAGGTTGTTGAATTTTGAATAAAGCCCACTCCTCGTGTCTTACCGATGAATGTGTCTATGAACGTTTCCATCTGTGTAACGTTGTAGACCTAGGTCAAGCAGCTGAGTAGGAGAATCTTTGAAATATATACATGCCAATCCTGCTATTATTGTTCTTCTGGCTTTATTCAAATCTGTAAAAGGGAAATTTTGTATGGAATGCTGGACAGATAAGAGTGTTTTGTGCGTGGATTATGACTGCTTTTGAGAAGGAATACGTTGCAGATATAGATCGAAAACCTATCCACAACCATTAGATAATCCGGGCGGTAACCATAGGATATTTTTGCATTTCGTAAAATTCTTACTTCATGCCCATTTTTGACAGTGATAAAGAAATCCCGAAGGTTGGACATGAGGGTTAGGAACAGTAGCAGTTGGACACTGTTGCAAGGCATAATTTTGTATTAAATGTATGCTACTGAGAAAGATGCTTACCTAGAAATCGCTCTCTCTGACCTTCGTTTTCGTTAGCAAATCAGACTGATATAGACACATAAATTTTCATGTCACTATGAGTGGTTTCTAACTACTCATATTGTCCAGTAGTGTATTCCATAAGTTCATAACACTTCGGTACCACAGATCACACTGTGATTTCGGTTAGCTTGTCTATGGTAGGAGTTTTGATGTCGCCGAAGTTGGAGAGTTGAAAAACTGCTCAAATGTCGGAAATTTTAACATGGACCGTGTAATACGTGAATAAATTGCAAACTTACCACCCAACATTTTAATATTTATTTTCTTGACATATAGTACACAACAATACAGTATTATTTACTGGATGATATTCATAATGCTCAAAATAACACTTATATCGTCTGATTACTCTTTGTTCTTTAGTTTCTATGGCAGTTGAATTTTACATGTATCCACAATTAATGTTGAATCATTCGATAACACGTTAGGTGTTGATTCAATAAATAAGGCTTCACCTATCAATCTTTTTGTCGTTCTGTTTCATCTTATTGCTTGGCCTTGTGGGACAGCACGCATATTTTAGTCCGGCAGTATCAGATTCGAATCTTACTAAACTATGGACTGATTCATGTTATCACATGTTCTTATAGAAAAATGGGATGCAAGTAACGAAAAGAAACAAGGTAGGTGAAGATGAATAAAGATAGAGAGGACAGTGGTATGCTAATGACAAAAATATAAAATACCGTGGTCTTCAAATTTTAGATGATATGATTTGTTAACGGAATACAGTGTGACTTTAGAGGCCACCCTAAGGACTACTAAGATGGTCATTCAGGCTTCCCTATTTCACAAAAAACGTACCATCGTAGCCAATGTATCAAAACTTGATTAGTTATTTTGGCATTTTCTAGTGTGGCCTTCAGAGTCATTACAGAATACACTAGTGGTATCGATTTCAAGCAATTTTATTTACGGACTACTTGTTATTAATTTTTGTCCATCTTGAAGACAGTATCCAGCAAATCAAAGATTTTTAACGAAGATAAGTTTGCTTATCTCTTTTGATAATGGTTAGCAGTAAAACTCAATGCATGCGTTTCGTCCCAGTTATGACTCATCAGCTAGATACACCAACATTTTGCTGCGCTACTCTTCTCACTGAAACTCAATGTTAGAAAAACTTGTATATTCACAATCTACACAGCCACATCATTCTAGCTGTATGTAGTTGATGAATACCCATAACCCATAAACTCTCAGTCTAATTTTTCTGATACATGTGAGTTAATGCCTTATGAAGTACATATACTTCAAACTCTTAAAAAAATCCCAACCGTAAATATACTGAGTGTTTTATGCTGATTTTCATAAGCGAGATAACTCATTGACAAGCTCTTTTATCACCACTATGCAAGCTGTTTCATGAGTAGCCTCAAATGAATACAGCCTGATCCTTTAACTAACCAAGTAGCGTAAGCTGACGCTTTTATGCTAACTTATCATAGCTAAGCACTATATTTGCATGTTTTGTAAAATGAAAATGATCTGCCTTCCCAGTATCCAGGATGAATACTCCTCATGGCTAGGTTTTACTTAATGTAATGTCACTGTCTCTTCCTCACCAATCCAGTTGCCTAGTTGGAGACTGCTTCTGTCTAACCTGTGATTGAGGACTTTACATCAGCCTCCAAACACATGGTTATCCTTAGGTGCTAACGTGCTTGGCGCTTGCACGCATGAATTCCTGTTGCTTACACAAATACATACAACTAAGTTTGAGTTAAATTTCTGTGGCTTCAGACTGATTTCAATATTTATTTATAGAACTTCAAAGTTTCGAGTAACACTCTGATCAAATATTCTCAGTCTTTCAGATATGTGTCCGGTTCCATAACTGTTCATAAAGCTGTAACCGAAATTTCAGATCCTTTGAACTTCATGTTGTTTTTGTCAAAACTATTAATTAGCACATTGAACAACGACACTGAAAAAGCTCCAAAAGAATCATTTACCACTTTTGTTTGCCTGCTGCATCAAACCTTTTAAATAATACACTAATTATACCCTACACAAATCTACTAATTAACATTTTTCTGACACTTGAGTAATTTTTTGTGTACAATGAATGATATTTATCCTCCTTTTTCGTATATTGTATAGATTTTTTAGTTATCTGAAACACTCAGTAATGGAAATTCAAACCATTTGGAAGGTTGCAGGGATTAGTTGACTTCATCATGTATTGACATCAACTGAAGAACCACATGAGATCTGGATGCACTAAGCTAGTGTTTCGTCCTAGTTTGAAACTTCCCAGTAGTTTGAACTCGTGATCATCAAGCTTCGTAGCAAGCATGGGATTATTCTGCCACTGAGTTCAACTCTGGTAGCCAATCTTTTTAACTTTTGTTGAATCGCGATATGGCATGACATGTATGTATACGTTTTCATTCGTGACTCGATTAAAACTATAGTTCATAGCTTCGGTTTAGAAATTCAGGAAATATTTCAAGGAGAAAGTTACTTGTAATCACTGGATTTTAAATCGGTTGAAATTTTGTGGGTGGTGATTAGATCAAAGTAGTCTTCGTCACGGGTTGATGTCATTTGTAAAATTATTGATACTGGACGGTAGCCACGTTATGTCACTAATTGGGTCTTAACATCCCCTTCATACGACCCAAAGGTTAT